TATAAATCTGAGGCCAATCTCCGACCGGTGTAATAACCCCAACGACCGACAAGTGTGACGCCACATTAGGCGAAAACCCTGGGAACGAGGTTGCGCATTCGTTTCAAAATTCAAATTTTTTACAACGACATTCTTGGCTGTTCTACGAGGAGATTGCAATTTTATTTGATAAAAGACATAAAAGGATAATCTTTGTCACTCTCCTAATACGATTGGAAATGAAATAGGTGCTGGTTCACTGGATTGAGTCAAATAAGACAAGCATCTTAAAGAAAGAATATATTATTTAAAGACAAAAGTGTGCATGCTAAAACATCCCGAGAAGGATCGCATGGTTTTGTTTGGATACTCAAAGATGAATTCCCCAAAGACGGCATGGAAATCGTATTTTGAAACGTTTTGGCAGAAAGTGGTAAGCATCTCAGTGACACTTAAATAATAATATAATAATAATTTAACCTAGGTCCGCATCGAATTGTATTATTGTAATCAGAAGATTGTTTATTCAACTTTATCAATCATCATTCATCTTCGTATAAATACTTCGCTCATACACACTAGTGATAGCCGGGAAATATCCTCAATAGCGGTGTAATAATGTTTTAGCAAAGAAAGAAGCAGAACATAGTGACATTATATGCGCTAGAAATATATTGTTTATAGTTTTTTCTAGATCAACATGTCCTTCCAACTGAGACTGGGATATATAGTCGTGTGGAATGTTATCTTCCAAACATGTGCACATCTCGCTCGCTCATACTTAGTTGTGTATAGCAATAAAATATTTGTGTATATATAAATTTTCTAAAGCGAGTATTTGTGTTTTTTCACAGATAGCAAGAATGAGTTACTAATGAAAACTTAGCTTGAATTGAGCAGTTGGAGGATAACAGTGATAATAACAGTGATGATAATAAAGCCAAGAAGAGGCGATTAGATGTGACCAGTGCTGACAATAAGAAACCAAAGAAGAATATAAAGGTTTGAAACATATTACCATTTGATATATACCGGTACACAATATGGTCTAAATTAGGGAATACCCCTTGCACCTTAACTTAATTCAATAACCTTTGGAGTCTTATAAACAGTAGCAATATTCTGTATACAGTATAGCAGAATTTTGTTTTTCTAAACACCTAATTTAGAAGAAATTAATGTATTTTTACATATGATATTTCAAATATTTTGTATGTTTTGGCTGGGTCTAAAAGCCTCACAGTATCAGATTGGTACTACCAACTGAGCAACATGGCCAGATGGATTTAAGACTTTAAAGAGGCAGTTTTAGCAGCACTTGCTGCAACCAAGAAAATATGTACACCATCAAAGTTCCACCATCTTTTCCTAAGATTCAAGCCTCTTTCTTGCCTCAGCCATTCCTTCCCTTAGCCATTCCCTAGGTCTGCACAACCTTATTCACTGTTGACCATGAACAACAGCAGTTTCTCAGAAGAATGGATTGTTATTTTGTTAATGTTTTTGTATACAGTAGATAACATTCTCACTTTCCATTTAATGTTTTATTTTTTAGGCAATGAAATTATATTTGACTTTAAATTATTTATTGCGATGAACTGCAATTGCTATTAATTAACAATCCTGTTTATATTTTTTCCAGCTTTTGTCATCATGAAATTTCCTCAAGCAAATAATACAATTTTAAAAGCTGTTATGACACAAGAGTGCAAAGAATTTAGGCTGTCAATGGAAAACCGAAGAAAGAATCAGGAAGATCTTAGCAACAATTAAGGACAGTAGGATGACTAAATAAATTATAGTATTATAATTCATTTTTTTATATTTACAGATGTATCTTTTACTCTTTAACATAGTCAAATGTTTCACTTCATTTTGTAATATGGTTTTCAATATATGTGCATTAATTTACTTCACCTGGTAATACTGTGTCTGAGTGATTTAATGATAATTAAAGGTGTCATGCAGTAGTTTGTGTGGATCACATGTGAACCACATGTGAACGTCAAAACAGACTAACATGTGAACCACATGTGGTTGTTCCAGATCCACATGTACTGAACCACATGTGACTCACATGTGATACTACCACATGTGATACTACCACATGTGAACCACATGTGATACCACCACATGTGAACCACATGTGATATAATGGTTCCAATTTCACATGTGAGTCACATGTGATTCCACATGTGGTTTTCGCATGTGTTTTTTTCGTAAGGGTATAATAGTATTGGGTGGTCTTTGTATAGCTATACATCACAAATGGATGAGTGAAAATTACTGACGGGGGATTATATATCTCTTGAATCACACACTTGCATTAAAATCTCCCCCCTAAAGATATCTATATGATTCCTCCATCCCTTGTTGCTGCGCTCCTTATTGGAGCCGTCAAAAGATTCAGGGTTTCAATTAAGAGAGTGTATTAACTATTAAGAGCGAACTAGGATACGCGCATACGACTTTTATGAGTTTTATCTTCCTCTTTTCAAGCGTCAATGATAATTACGATGTAACCGACGTAAAAAGACGCTGGCTCTATGCCATATGTGAAAAAATATAAATATCTATTATTTGCGTGATTTATGTCCATAATAGCTACAATTATATATTTTCATTTCTTCGCATCCGATCTGAATTTCAGCAAAGGAAATTGGCACGAATGCGGAAATGTTGTGTCTCGAAAATGAAAATGGTTAAAAACAGAATAATGAGAAATGATATCAAGGCGCGGGAGACGAATATAGTTTCCGCCAGTCCTATTGTTTTAATTGTATAACATTACATTTTAGTATAGCTATATGTACATTCCCTAGCTTCCAAATTGTTTTTCATTCACGGTAAATATTTGCCATACTTCATTCGCTATAATTGGCTACGTGAGAATTGTAAAAGCGCGCCCAAGTCGATGCGCGTAGCATTGTAAATATACAACCTCCTTGTGTCAACATTCCAGCCGTGAATTGAATTCTCTAGGTCCGGTCCACTTTGGGCAACAGCGGTTAGCCTATATGGCTAGCTGAAGGCAAATCAACAAATTAAATTTTTCAACAGCTTATCTTTATGTTAAGTGGAATTTAGTAGAATTATATTTTCAGTTAATAGAAGTTTCTTCGTTTTCCGGTATAGTGATTAAACAGTCAATTCTGGACAAAAATAGTGGGTTATATTTTCCTATATTGTGTTGACGAAATGCGGCTCTTGTTGTATATACGGGTGCTTAGTTTATATATATGAATGCAACTGCCCTAAAATTAATTATCTATCAAATGCAATAAAGTATATGATTGCAATACATTATTGATTGTTTACTTGCGCTGTTTGAATTTCTATGTCTTGATTTGTCACCACCACATGAATAATTTCGACAAATATAAGAACCCGCATTCGGTGTTTTGGAAGAGGGTAAGTGGGTAACCACTAAGTATTCTTGATTAATGCTGCAATTAATGTTATATTGTGATTATATTTACGTGCAAAGACTGCCCGCGTCATGAATATTATAGTTTTGCCACTATATCATTTCTTGGTTTTGCCACTATATCTTTGGCTATAGATCATAACTATTCGTAATTCCAATCACTAGCAAATATTGATTTCGGTTTTACTGTGTCTTGGGCTTGCATTTGGACGTCTTTTAGCTCTACTGCTTTAGCTGTTATCGCCCACAAATACCGTTAAGCAGATTACTACTTTAAAATAAAGCTCCGCTTTCAAGATATACGCCTAAATGAAACCAACATCCTTAATTGTGAAAATTTTTAAAACCACTATCATGTGCATGCACTAACCGTCGCCAATATTCGTGCGTCATTTCTGTACGATCGTGCGCCTCAACCATTGCGTATATGCACCGTAGTAGCATGATTACCCATGCACATGATATATACCACGTCATCTGTAATTGCAACTCACATTCACGCGCCATCATTATAAATCCTACAAAAACATTTAGGACTGCATGTGTTCAAATTTTGGCCAGGTTCACTGTATAGTTAAGCACGGAAAATCGTAAATGATCTTCAACTACATATATATATAGGTATATGCGAAATTCTCAAACGCTTTAAGTTTTCATTATTCAAAATAAAATCTAGGTCTACAAATCACAATTGTTTTAACCTTCACCTATTCCCGGCATTACCATCATATACACATTAACCACATGCACTTGCTCTTGTCAGCTATCTCTGCATGTAGCTCAATGGCAAGAGCATTGCACCGGCATCGCAAAAGCGTATAGGTTCGATTCCTGCCGGAGTACCTATAGTTGACTCATTTTTCATTCAACTGTTCCTGGCTTGAATTTGAAGTTTGTGTAATTCCACTTGTCGAAGTTAAGACCTTTAAACCCCTAGAATATAAAATATGCGAAAAACTAAGTTCTTTTAGACGTTACGTGCGTGTACGTGCGTATAAAAAACGCGTATAAGTGGAAAGCAACCTTATATATTTCAAATGGCATTTGCCTTGGCTATATATTATGAACTATAGCGCGTAACATAGAGTAAGAAAATATTTTCTACCTGTGTCTAATATATATATTTCGAATTTCAGGAAAATGAAATCCGAGAATTCTACTTTAATAAACCGTATTGTTTTCATATTTTAAATTTGTCTCCTAGCTTTAAGATTATCAATTTTCGACTGGAAGCTATAGCAAATCGTTAAAGATAACTAGGATATACAATCGTCTGGTTTCGATCGAACAACATAAATAATTGACCTTGTAAACACTCTAGATATAGAGTTGAATGTCTGTATCATGTAGAACCTAAAATTCCATTTTTAGTAGAAAATTCGATATGTTAAGCACTATTGACTGCATGTTGACTGTGCATGTCGACTATGTCAAAACAGTACGTGTAAGGTTGTAAAGTTGCAAAGTACGTAGGCTATAGGCATGCATCTAACCGTGCATGCATAAACTTCGCATGTCCTGCATGCGTCCATGTGAAGGTGTATAGAAACTGTTGACGGGTAGAAATATACAACTTCAATCTTTGTTTTTCCAGGTAGGTGATATTGTCTCGGTCATCGATATGCCCCCGTACGAAGAAAGCTCTTGGTGGCGTGGAAAACGCGAATTTGAGGTATTTGCAGAATAATAGCTTCTTGAAAATAATTGAAGAAAAATAATTGCTCTTTTAACGTATAGGAGAATATACAAGTAGAATTCCATCAGATATTTTTGTTATAATGAGTGAATGTATGGCAGCCATAATTGTAAATCACTATCTGCATCTCTTTTTATATTTTATAAGCATGGTTTGTTATGCAAAATTAGAAACGAAATTCGGTTTTCAAGAGCATGCTTAATTGCGTTTTTAGGTTGGCTTCTTTCCCAGCCAATGTGTCAAAGTAATCGGGGATACTTCAGCAACGGTTGCACCTCAAAAACTCACTCCAGGTATGATACCTTGCCAATACATTCGTAATAGGAAAAAATTCGTAATGTACTTCTTTAGGCAGTATGATTTGATACCCACAGGACAACGTATATCATTTTTAAAGACGGTCCATTTTACTGATTTATTGTTTTGTTTTTCGTTAACTTTCCTTTTAGTTGCTTCTAAACGAGGAAAAGTTGTAAGTTATCTTCGGACATTTCTGTCATCACGTCCCAGTCGTGTAAGACTGCTGCAGTCTGGAATTCTGAGGTAATTTATTTTGCTTCGAGAATCGCTGCATGTACGGTACATTTGTGCATTTTTTTGCAACCGTTCATTTTTTGCCTCAGCGCGATAGTCCCCTTCCACGTGTCTATTAATTATTGGTTTAATTTTGAAGACAATATATGCTTTCGAAGTTAGTTGCAATATATAAAAGGGTGGACTTATTGAATGCATGCAGCTGCATAAACTATTTAGTATTTGTTGCTAGCATTTACATTATAGGTTTTAATTTTATAATTTTTACACTAGAGAACGAACGTTTGGTTGTGACCTTGGTGAACATCTTCAGAGAACTGGAAGAGAAAGTAAGTTGGTTTTTCTATCATAATTAATGCGCATAGCCATTACTCGTATAGCGATATAAACATACGATCTTTTCTACTAACCAAGGATTAGCGTGGCAGCGTCTTCAAAAACAACTTAGCATCAACACATTGTGGTTTAACAACTGCCTAGACAAAACACTTCTCGACGTTTCGACCTGAGGGCCTTCGTCAGGAGAGTTAGTTTAAAAATAAATAGGGGAGAATACATGTTTTGTATGGGGGCAAAACACGTGATAAAAATGGGCTAATAGAAAACAAAAAATCAACACAAATTGGAATACACTTCATTGCCAAAGAGACGCCTGATTGTGGGCTAAGAATAGCCCGCAATGAGGGAAGCCTGATCAGCAACGAAAACGTATTACAACCAGTTTTGATGTAAACAAAGAAATGGGAGTCGTATTACTATGGGTGAAGTGGCTTAAATGAAAGAGAGCCTTTCATTTATGCCAGAGGGATGAAGAGTACCAAGACTGTGGATGAGTTGCATTTCTTGTCGTTTACGGCTATCGTTAGTACCGGAATTGGGACAGAGGGCTCTAATTTTCATTTCCGTGACACAATGATTACCAGAGGTAAAGTTTCTGGCAACAGGCTTGGTGTTATCGTGGTGGTTAACCGACCTACCGTGTTCACCAAACCTTACCCTTAGAGATCTTCCAGTTTCACCGATATATAGTAATTCACATTTGCTGCGTGGATGCAATAAATGAGGTTGGAAAAGAGGCATGTGAAATGGTGCCTGATGAAAAACTGTGAATTGGGAGCCGAATTAACAGTGCTGGAATCGGTAGATGAGCTTGTTTTACATTGGCCAATGCCACATGGGAATGTGCCATTGGGCTCTGAAAAGTTTTGCTGTAGCAAGCTGTGTCCCAATGCGTTGTTGTGCCGAAAAGAGACTAGGGTGTTATCGGTGAAAATCGAAGATGTCTCGGGATCATTTTGCAGGATATAAAAATTCCTAAATAAGATATCCCTAACAGCAAAATTGAAAGGATGATGTGTTAGAACTAAGGGAGTAGAATTATTGCTAGGGGTGCTAGAGACAGAGTCTCTAAGAGTGTCTAAGCAGGAAATGTCAGAGGCCTTAGATAAGGCAGTGTCAAAAGAAGGGAGAGATAGCCGCGCCCGACAAAAAATGTTTTTATCTCCAGACATTTGGACTGGAAGTCATCATCTTCACTGCAAAGGCGACGGAGATGAAGGAATTGTGAGAAGGGGATAGACCTCTTAGTGTGGCTGGGGTGGAAGGAAGAATATAAGAGATAGCTATGGGAGTCAGTGGGCTTGTAGAACACTGAGGTAGAGAGCCTATTGCCATTGATGGAAACTAGGATATCTAAGAATGATACACTGGTCTCACTGCTCTTCCATCCCTCTGGCATAAATGAAAGACTCTTTCATTTAGGCTTCTTCGCCCAGAATAATACGACTCCCATTTCTTTGTTTACATCAAAACTAGTTGCTGCTTTTCGTTGCTGATCAGGCTTCCCTCATTGCGGACTATTCTTAGCCCACAATCAGGCATCTCTTTAGCAATAAAGTGTATTCCAATTTGTTTTGATTTTTTGTTTTCTATTGGCCTATTTTTATCACGTGTTTTGCCCCATACAAAACATGATATTTTTCTGCTATTTATTTTCATACTAACTCTCCTGACGAAGGCCCTCAGGTCGAAATGTCGAGAAGTGTTTTGTCTATTTTAGGCAGCTGTTATACCACATTCGATCTTTTCCACGTAGCTATTTGGGAAAAGAGATAGCATAAAGCACATTTGCAGTCTGAGTTATATGATGTGTCTAGCCGATTTTATTTTGTTATAAGAGCTAAAGCACGCAGGCATTTGCTTAGTTGATAATGTCGTCTAGTGATAATTAGGTTTAGTATAGATATATACTTCTTTTTTCGGAGTATTTATCTTTGGTAAATAACTTCCAACTCCCCACACCAATAAACAATTTTCATTAGCTTGGTTTTGACATGCATAGCCCCGACGTTTGGCTTCAATTATTTCGATCAGTTCAAAGCTTAGCTCGTTTAACTATTTCGAGGAATAATTTGAAATGAATTGCAAAGTCTAATTTTAGATTGATCCATTTTCAAATTGTTGCGTATCCGTTTCGTTTAGTTCCCCTTGTCGTAGAGATGTGTGCTAAACTGATCGAAAAATGTGGTATAACAAACGGTGTGTACCGTCATTCAGGAATGTCCACAAATGTTCAAAAGATAAGGTACTGTGCACAATCATGGAAATTTTGAGCATATTTGTCACATGAACAGCCATTTTGCTTCCGGAGTCTTTATAGGTTCATATTTAACACTCACAGCATGTGCATGATATAAATGCGTGAAAATCGTCATTAACTTCTTTAGTGTTTGCAGCTATTATAAAAAGTGTAGGGCTGTGTGATGATTGCAGGCATATTGATGTATTTTACAGGCTCATGTTTGATTCAGAAGAGTCACCAATACTGGAACAGGATTGTTTTTTACGTGATATTCATTGTGTTGGAAATGTTCTTAAGATGTATTTCAGGTAGAAATGCAATTTCAGAAATGTTATTCCGAAAATGAAAGTGAAACCATATTGCGACACCATAGGGTTTATTTATATAGATGAACGTATAGCCATCCACATTGGGTCTTGTAATTTTTCAAATGTTATCATTCTTCTCACCCTAATGCATTATAATCCTATAGGGAACTGCCCAATCCTTTGTTGACGTACCATCTATATGAAAAATTTACTGTAAGTAATGCTGTATTACATAAGATTATTTTGTAAAATTTTGAAAGATGAAGGAATCATGTTAATATTTTGCTCCTAAATATGTGAAGCTGATTTTCAGTTATATATTTCTTTTAACTGAAGCAAATATATATCTACTAAATTATGCTTATAAAAATCATATAATTCAATTTCAGAGTGCTGTACGAATCAAGGATGGTTTCGACCGCGAAATTGCGATCCATCATGTCGTTCAACAGTTGCCACCCCCTCATTATAAGACTGTGGAGTTCCTGCTGAAGCATCTTGCAAAATTAGCAGATTATCACAACGAGACTGGAATGCACGCGAAAAATCTTTCCATAGTTTGGGCACCGAATTTAATGAGGACGGAAAAAATGGAGGAAAGCAGTAGTTTGGAGCACTTAGGATCACAAGCGGTCGTCGTGGAATTTCTTATTCGTAACGTTGACATATTTTTTGATAAAGACACTGCTGCGAGAGCGATAACGAGGTTTCCTGATAGTCCAAAACATGGAATGAGGGAGAGAAGCCATAGTGATCCATCAAGTAAGTTTCTTTTTAGTTAATTTAAATCTATTGCATGTGTAATGTATCTTTAAATGCATGGTACTGTGGAAACACGTGTGGAAGTAATAAGTATAAGGAATTTGTAGTCATCAATTATGTAGCTTTTCTTATGATATACAAAGACCTTGTCATGAGTTCGTCTAGGAATGAAGACTACGAAGTTCAAACAAGTTTTCATCGCCAAAAATATTTGCGTTGCTGTCTATAACGCTCTTATATATACTTCTCATATAATTAAGGTTATATAAAAATATACATGTACTTCTTAAATCTTATTTCAGTTTCGGAAAGCATCTCACTTTATGATCGAAGTAAAATACGGCCATCCTCCGTTGGTGTTGCTCCAGCGCCAAAACTTATCTCTTTAGAAGAGGCTAGGTCATCTAGAAATCCTTCCAAAATGGCGCAGACAGAATCCGTCGGGGTTAATAATAAGGACGTACCTTTGGCTGAACAAGAAGAATCTTCACCGGATCTTAGTTCACCCGAACAAGAAGGATCCAGGGGAGGAAGTCCTTTAAGTCCAGTTCCTGGAAATCCTTTAAAACCTGGCAAGACTTATATTGATGTAGGCGAGGGACCAAGTGCCCTTCCCGAATATCATACGGTCATTGAGTTACCTAGGGGCAAGAAAACAAATATCACGCGGGGAAGCAAAAAATGGAAGTCACTGTTTGGTAAACGGCCGGAGAGTACAAGGACTTCATCGCATAACTCGTCGTTTAGACGACCGCCGTTAAGACAGCGTAGCTTTGAAGATGCTATAAAGAAAGATGAAGGAAAGGTACGCTCCAAGAGTGTTGATGAATTATCCAGTGAAGAAAATAAGAAAGGAAAGAGTTTATCAATTTCATATCCGTTATCACGGAACAGATACAATCCTCAAGAAAGTGGAGGTAAAATTACCGCTACTGGGAAATCTAAATTCTATGTAGAACCAGATTTACCGCCTGAAGGTATGCGGGGGACATTCGCAAAGGCGCAAGTTGGATCACCGGACGCTCGCAGGATTAATACGGCCGGGTCGAATGAAGGGGTCTCAGAAAACAGTTCCAAACGTGCTGACCAGCGCCCCCCTAGACCTGCAACTTCACCGCCTGGGTATCAACGGCAGGTTCGACAAAAGTCAAGAAGTGACTCTCCAGGACGTGTGAACGGAGACGAATCCACGTTCTTTGTGACAGGTCGCGTTAACCAGCAAACAAATGCATTGTCGATTGGAGTTGTACGTGCGCCTGGCGTAAATTCCTTAAAATCAGGAATGCCTGTGGCAAACGAAGAAAACGGATCAGCAAATGAGACAAAAAAATAACCCGTTCTCAGGTATGCACTGTTCTCTATGTCCAGACATATTGAATGATTGGTAAGGCCGACACACACCGGCAACGCGACGCGATTTCATTTTGTTATGATACTGGGGCCGGTTGTATGAAAGCCGGATAGCGCTATCCACCGGATAGTGATTTTTTCAATCGCTTTAAAATCGCCCGTTGTTGGGTATAACTTTGATTAACACTTAGTATTCCTAAAGTGAGGGTCCTCTTTAACCAATGTTGGCTACAAAGCTGAAATTTTATAGCTATTCAAGCATTTTTAGAAGGGTTGAAAAAATCACTATCCGGTGGATAGCGCTATCCGGCTTTCATACAACCGGCCCCTGAAGAATAGTACATTTTGTCATCTCTAGGGTGCATAGTTCCCAAAATTTCCTTACAGGATTATTCCTACACATACAGCGCGAAATGCTGTTACCCATAAAATATATCTCGATTATCTTCGCCGTTCAAGGCGTTTGAACTATCATCAAATGGTGGGTTTGGAGAAGAGAGGAGCAGAAACCGAATATTTGCATTGGGATGATCATTGTTAATATCCTTCAAGGCTCAATTAACTGACAGTACTGTGCATAACTATTATGCAGTATTAGTGAATTCATATATTGAAATTTTATTCATCTCATTTAGATTGTACATATATTTTTGGTAGATTTATAATGAATTGTTTATATTTAATAGGTATGGATTAAAAGCGGCTATAACAAAGTTGCAAATATTTTTCAAGTCGAATGTATTAAATGATGTATCGTACACTTGGCTACAAAGCGATTTTAACCAGAAGTATGTTGTTTATATTTCGGTTTGCTCATTTATCGGAAAACAGTCGAAAGGGAGACAAATTGCCACGATGCCTGAAATTTTGGCGCATTTACACAAATGACGTTGGTTTTTTGAACCGCTTTTTTAAAATTTTATTACTGATGAGTCCAACAACTTTCGTGAATGCGGATAAGTACCTGCATGTATTTAAACCTTTTTTTCGCAGTTTAAGAGCAAATTTTGTTCGTCAAGTTTGTTAAATATTTTAAATACAAAGCTGGTAACGTTTTTATATAGTTAGTTGACGACGAAAACTTATAACTATCTTGAAAAGTATAGCCTACGTAACATAGACGGTGAAATAAACGACACATATTTGTAGCCTGAATGTTGGTGCCCGGAAGTTATTACTATATATAGCGTCTGCGCGCAGGCTATGGAAAGTAAAGATAAAGTAAGCATTGAAAAAGTATTATTATCCCGCAATATGTTTCCCTAGAATACTTTTTGATCTTTTGACTGAATTTTCCACTCCTCGATGTTCTCCCCAGTGCTTTTGAAGGTGTTGGTTTGCCTGCGCGGCTCCCGCATTATCAGCAAATATTATTCAAATCGGCTTCGTCCAATGATTGGACTTTATTACGGAGTTATTCCCGACCAGACTTAGCGCCGATATAGGCCTGATTGATTGTGAAGGCTTCCATATACTTAATGACCCCAACCAACTCTCAAAAGTGTGCGAGTTTATAATTCGGTATATATGAACTAAAACTTCAAGAAACCAGGCGAGTATCGATTTATTTACTGCTGCTTATATAAGCGATGAATTAACGTTCATTCGGCTAGAGACCAGCGCTAAGACAGTTTGCATGCAAATTCGTGCTTAGACCTCAGTACGTATTTCGAAGCTATTTTACCTAGCAATATACTTTACAATGCTCTAAGAATTGATAGATTAGATATTTTAACGTTTATATTAATGGCAAGTGTAGGTATAAATGAAGTAAATCAGGCAAGCGTACTGTGTATTTAAATGTTGTATAAACCCTTAAAGTGCTACTTCAACGAAATTTTCGAGACCTTTTTTATTGGCCCAATTTAAATTAAAGTTCTAACTTTTGTGATTTCATTTCTGGAATCATTGGCCGTTCCAAAGATTTTTTATAGCTCTCAAAATCGCGATTTTTGCCACTTCCTGTGCGAACTTTTGCTCCGCCATGTTGTTGCTTGTGACGTAAAAAGAGTACCGATTCTTAGCATTGCAGTCCCGGCAAAGCCTGTATTCATCAAAATTTTAAAATATTTATTTATCTGTTCCTAAGGAAAGAGATAGATCACCAAAGTGGAACAAAGTAAGTGATTTTTTTTCGGACTTTCACGCCGCGCCAAAATCCCAAACTACAGGGTGTCCCAAAAAAAACGAAAACTATTGAAATCACCCATAACAATGCCATTGTTAGAGTTTGAATGCCTAAGCACTCTGTTGGGCCCACAAGTGTATAAATCGGGGTTGCCATAAGCACTTTTATGCATGCATATGATGCAGCAAAAATGATATTTATTAACAATATTTACAATTTACAAATATGGATAACAGTATTTTTAAATGTGCATCTCAAGGACCATGACCTTCGACATGTCCCCTTTCTCTAGCAACACAAAGCATTTAGCATTTTATAAGTTGCATTAAATCCCCACGGGCTGAAATTCGTGAACACGGCATTCAAATTTTAACAATGAGTGATTTCAATAGTTTTCGGGTTTTTTGGGACACCCTGTACAGGGTGTATAAAAAAAAACGCAACCACTTAATATTCATGAATATCCTCTTTGTTCTACAACACAAAAGACGTTTGGCCCTGGAATGCGAGAAGCCTGTAATTATATTCTAGCGGCACAATCGTTTGTAAACAAAGTCGGGTGCGTAAACCAACGAGCTGAATTGAAAGTATTTAACGAGTAAAATTTTATTTACAATGAATCTTACAAGGACGACAGTTAGCATTCAAGTTATCATGTTCGGTTGTTAGCTGCACCATTATTAGTTTAGCTGATTTGACCATTAGCAGTTGAACTGTACGATTAGAAGCCATTTTAAAATCCCAGGGGCATAAAATCTATTGAGCTTATAAACAATATGAATTTTAGAATATTAAGTGGTTGCGTTTTTTTTGATACACTCTGTATATATACGTACTGAAATCACCTATTGTTGAAATTTGAGTGACTTGTTAGCATTGCGTTGCTCGTGGGGATTAACGCAACTATTATAAAATGCTATACATTTAAGAAGAAGGACATATCAGAGGTCATGGTAAATTGTATCTGATGGGTCTGTAAATTGTAGTTATTGGTAATAAGAATTTGTGCATGGGTGCAAACAAATTTCACTGTCATCATGCATAAAAATGCTTATGCCAAACATTTATACACTTGTGGTTCCCAACAGGGTGCTTAGGCATTCTATTAACTATTAACATTGTTATGGGTGATTTCAATAGTTTTGGGGACACCCTGTATATCATATATTTATAGGCCTAGTTTATTATGGCGGATGCATGCAATTCAAAAAATAGATCATGCATGGGATGAGAGATACCTCCATTACCTCATGCAAAACGCAACCTTGATGATTCCCAGGAGCCTATATTTTGTTATTGAAAGAAGCAAGCATTGCGTGTTTTTTTGTACATATAAGCGCAGTGCATACAGGGTGTCCCCCAAAAAAGTCTCCTCTATTGAAATCAAGCCTTTGTTAGAATCTGATTGCCTTAATATTATGATAAACCCAATTGAAAGCAAGGCTCTTTATTTGAATGCCTCAGATTATTACTTTTATTATTCTCAGGCATTAATAACGACGTCTTAATTTAAAACTGGATTAAGAATTTTATTAAAATTAAGCTTGATTTGGAGTGCATGAAGTGCATGGTTGACGCTCGTTCTGCATGGTGTTTAACTTGCGAAGATTCCGTCGACGTCGTCTTCTGATCAACAAGGTTTGTTGCACAACTCCTATTCTCTCATTTTAATCCTTTCAAAATATTTCATAATAGTTTTTTATCCGATGGAGCTAATTCGATAAAGGTTGATGTTAAAATTTAAACATCAAATCTCTGAGAGCGTGCTCCATTGCTTCTATCATCCCGTTCAACATTGGGATTAATAGCCTATACCCCGAAAATCCTCTGTTAGTTGTTTTAAAGTTGTTTATTTTTATTGCGAATGCCTCATATATACCTTCTATATATACATGCAAAGAGCTATTTTTCGATCTCTGGCCTTTAAAGACATCCTTCAGTGGAGTAGCGGGCTTGGGAAACGAGATTGATGTAAGATGACATATACAAACTTGTTGTCCATTGCCAATGAATGTTATATCAGTTCGAATTCGATGCAGTTTGATAACATGAGAATGCGGGCTGTATATAGTCTTAAGACAACGTCATCGGAAGGACCTATAGCTATACCTAATTACCTACATATTGTGAAATATCGCTTTTTCTGTCTTTGCATGCATGCAAGCGTTGCAGACAGTCGGTGATAATATGCATGCATGTAAAAAGACAACATACACAACACGTCCCACCCAATGGCTATGGAATTCCCTGTCCTATCCGCTAATCTAATGTGATTTATACCTTGACAAGTAACAACCCGATTTACCTTTGTACCCGAGACATGCGACAGCCTTTTCATGAATCACAGCTATAGTGAGTTCTCTTAAGATTTTCATTAAATCACGCGTAAACAGAAAGCCTTTGTGATTTAGATCTAATTAATTGCCTATTGAAGATAAGAACTATAGGTCGGTAAATGTTTTCGATAAAACGTATTTAGAGCTGGGAATAACGTGGGTATATATAGACGTATAGAGCAGACTAATGTTAAAAACACATATAAATATATATTTTGCTTTAGCTTGATGCGTTTCGGGCCCTCTTTTAAGATTGATGACGCGCAGAAACTCGGATTCATTCTTCATAAATAACATTGCGTGATAAATAAAAAAACGTCTATTGGTATCACCTGCCGAGCAAGCGCGCAATTAAGCATGAAGCAAGCACGCAACTCATTGCAGAAGTCAGTACTTGCATTTACACCATATAGTTATTTCAGGGGAACGAGGGAGCAGTCTATATATATATATATATACTGCCGATGTGCTGTTCTCGGAAAGGATTTCTGAAGACCGACATATGGCAACATGTATGCATTGTTCAATGACTTCCTCGAGAACAAAGAAAGGCTGGAACGGCGAGAAAATTATTAAAATTGCGAGCTCTTGAACGTCGGAAATGCAGCCTTTTTTTTGGACTGTTAACCTGAGTTAGAGTATACTATTATGTTCTTCACTATTCATCGTGTACGTGACGAGTACATTTAATCATGTCAAAAATATCGCTTTAGTGTTTATAGTGCGACCTTGAATGTGAACTATTTTGGATTGAAAATATTAAAATACTTAAAAATTACAACATACATCAATAGTCAATACATACAAAAAGAAATAATTTTTTTGGAATTTTATAATTATAGAAGGGATAATTGGATGCTCGATCGTCCCGATTTAAAAAAACAAACTAAAAGACGTGTGAGTTATCACATACCTCATTGGATAATGTCATAATGCTATATAGTTCGTTCGCACGTCACTTAAATTATGAAACATGACCACCTTTTAGACGTTTTGTGCGACATAGACAGAATTATGTAGAATCTAACATCTAATTGTTCAAATTAATAGCCGTTTTGTCAAATGACACGTTCTACTGAACATTATAATTGTTCAAATTATATAGAGCTGATCTAAAATATGTTTATTGGGCTATTTGCGTTTTCTATAGTCAGTCTTTGTTTTCGTCTTTGACCGAAATTGTATCAGTGCAGATTGTAAAAACTGCGCCTTCGTTGAACTTTGACTCAACATAGGAATCTTTGAATTCATTTCCTCTCTCCATATCCTCGCTGTCCTCATCTTTAACTTTGACAAGGATTATGAATAAGTTGAGCATCAATATAGTTGCGACGAATACATAAACACGATCGGAAGAATGATAAGTCCTTTATCACCTGCATGTACTATCAGGTAGAACATCGATAATGGTTGCCGGAAAGCTAACAACTCTAAGGCAGCTCATAATGGACAATGTCACAGTTGATTTCTTTGACAAACATGGTAATACTGAAAGAAGACCATAGTTTGATAGCAGATTGAACATTGTGAAACTTGTTCCAAGTGCGATTACAAGTAAGAGTTTGACAACGGAAACCTTTTCTAAGTTTCCACTTGCGCTCGTTTCACTGATTTTGACAAGGAAAATGCATACGAGGAAACTTATTCCAACGTATTTCACGGTATTGTTCCATTTTGTCACGAATTTCTTCACGGGGCTAATACGACGCAAACACATTCCAGCCTTTTGAATAAAAAAATGATAATTTTTAAATCGTCAAGAAATGTTGAATGGCATCTTCTAATATGCCAATAAGGGTTGGTTTTCATCTATATATAGTCGTAATTGATCACGGCAATTATGACTAATTGGTGCATGGAGCCGATTAGTTCTAACGGGTATATACGTGTTGGTTTTCATCTAGTCATAATTCCGTGTGTCGACGGAGGTGGTGATATATTAGAATATTCTTACCAGTTTGCAGTCAGCACTGGCAATTTAAAACAAAAAATGAATACGAATTTCTATCCGAACTATTTTACATCGCTTGAAATGATTTGTTTACGGAAATTACGACAAAACAAGTGGGTGGAGACCATTAGTTCTTACGGGTGTATATACTCACCAGCAATGGCACCAAGATTCTGATTACGATATTTAGCAGCAATTTCCCAACACTTATGTTGACGTGCTGCATCGTTGGCACCAACAAACCCAACATGGGAGGGACAGTAAAGACAGAAATGATCATGCAAAGGATTGAAACCAAGACAGTCAAGCCTCGATGACCGTTTGCTGCTGTTACCTATATTTGATATTGATGAAAAAATCGCTTTTAAGAATGAATTTTGAAATGGCATTTTAAGAAATTAAGACCATTCCTAACGTTTTAATGCGGTTAAATTTAGATATTCATGCGTGTACAGCATGTAGGGCATCATGCTTTATGTAATTATGCTTCTCCAAAGTTTCAAAGCCGTGCACAAAGCTAGCATAACATGCATCACATGCAGGCTAAGTTATCAAAATTACTAAGAAATGTAATTACCTATAAAGTAAATATACATGCAGTGGTACAAATATTAAGAAGTTAATTACCTACCATAATCAGTGAGGTTGCGGGTGTATTTGGAGACATGAGATATATTTGCAATGCAAGACGAAACTCCTCTGGACCAAGAAGTGCATTTCCTTCACTGCTATGGTTCGAATTGTTTCTCAAATTTGGATTATGCCCAACGGATGAATCGAATTCTTGAACCTGGTTTAAGACACACGTTGAAAACACTGGACCGACGAGTATTATCAAGAATAAACCTAATGCTATTTCTTTGTAAGAGCGAACAGCCGTTTTCGCTTCCACAAAACGAAATCGGATACCAATGGTGAAAAAGAGAACGATGATGCAGATTTTAACAATTGGAATTCTTTGGCTCACGAAGACTGCTGGTTGAGGGAGAAGTATCCCGACGATTATGATAAAACTACCCCGTTTGGCAAGAAATTCCTCATGTAAAAATTTCTAAATCTCGCAAAGATGCTTAACTTCTTTACGGTTTCGTCTTGTTTCTTCACTTCCACCGCCACATCAGCTTGAGACGCCATTTTTCCAATTCAAAAGGTTAAGACTGTAGCGAGATCGCTCAACAGTTAGCTACTGTATGATTGTAACATCTATATACCGCTCTTTTTTCGACTCAATTTTATAAGCAGCAGGGCTCCTGTGGTGTTTGGATAGGTCACGTACAGAAGTTCCAAAGTTATGCAAAAATTTGTAAATGGCCTTTTTAGCCAGTAAAATAAGATTTTAATTGAATAGAAATTATTATTCCATAAACAACATGCAATTTATAGCATAAAAGCCAGGCACAATTGCAGATTTAAGATCGCATGCAACAGCATAATTTGCCAAAAATCTTCCTATATAGATGCTGTTAAAATATTGATCGCACAACTGCCACAACATGCATGCTTTTTTAACACTTCTCTCCAAGGTTCTGCCAGTTTTACGACAACGTGATATATTTTCATCTTCTCTTCACGATCATTTGTGTATGTTGTAAAACCAAATAGTTCTACTCAGTAAACGTATTTTTGAGCGCGGAAACATGCTCACGAAATCTTTGCGCTCGAGCAGAAATTCTTTATAGAGCTTCGGGAAACTTAACCGATGACGCCAAAGCTATATAGCTAGTATCCAATAGTTAATTTATTTAGTATCATTGAACTCTAATTTTTTCCCAGATCGAGGCAGAGTCGATTATATATGCTTGCCAAGCAGTGTTGGTTCATTATACTGAACGGATAAAGAGAGGGTCAGATAATTTAAGACTTAAGGCCGGCGCACACTAGACCAGTTTGTGCTTAGCAAAAAGTCATTCGTGGCCATTGGCGTAAGGCAGTCGCTCTCGTGTGCGGGCGACTTTTCCGACGACTTTGGTAATTCGTGCCACTTACGGCAAATATGTAGCATGTTTGATAATGTCTGCCTAGCGTGCCAAAATCTTTCCGTGTGCGGCAAAATGAAAGCTATCTGCTTACGGATTGTCTTAACACTTACAACGCATGCGTAATATACGAAAGTAAACATCCAAGTTGGCGGTGCAAACAAAGCAAAATGAATTAGTGGTTGAAGCCATATTGCATGGATGATATTAAAATATACGATGTGAATTCTACAGATTTTAGAAACAGAGAGAAAAGGGAATGCGCTGTTGCAGAAATAGCTAGTAAGCTTTCTCAAACAGGTAATATGATTAATAGCACTTGGATAACGGTTTTTAGTCTAGTCCGACGCAACAGCAACAAAAATAACAACACCTCTTCGTCTTCACTTTCTTCCATAATTTTGTTTTTGCAATCTGTCCGCCATCTTGGATGTTTACTTTCATATATTACGCATGCGCTGTTAAGACAATCCATAAGCAAATTGCTTTCAGTTTGCCGCACACGGAAAGATTTTGGCGCGCGAGGCAGAAATTATCAAACATGCTAGATATTTGCCGTAAGTGACACAAGCGCCCTGGTGACACGAATGACCAAAGTCGCCGGAAAAGTCGCCCGCACACGAGAGCAACTGGCTTACGCCAATGACCACGAATGACTTTTTGCTAATCACATACTACATAGAGGCTCTTGTGTGCGCCGGCCTTTATTGACTGATCCCGAGGGAAACATGTTTTGTGGATCCGAGGCCACTAATGTTGAAGTCAACTGAGTCAAGTTACAGTGAAATATCATAAACTTTTCCCCTCTTTTGTATATATCGCTATATAGCTATTCGTAATTGACGCGACATTTTAACTCCTTGATAATAGAGTCCTATAAAGTTTCCCACAGTGATCCCTCTCCATGCCTAAACCCCTTGATCCGGTTGTTCGAAAGGCGTACGTTTAGCTTAAATTGTGGATAGGTTCAAAATGGACAAAAAAATGATCTATTTATTGAACAACTGAGCTGAAATCTTTCGATGTAAATAGTTTAATTTTGACTTATCTACCATTTAAGCTAAACGCTTTTCGAACAACCGACCCCAGGATAGTGGAAACGAAGTTAATCAAACTGTGTTAACTAAACGCTATCCTATAACTTTGATCGACCCTAACGTTTTCGGAAACCTCCATGCATGCAACCTCCAACCTCCTTCAAATTTGCGACTTCAACTGTTCTTACACCAGCCTTAAGGTTGTATAGCAAATTTGCTACATACACATTATAAACAATTATTCAGAATTTTAATATATTAAATTTATATATAATATAAAATTATATAGCTATAGCTACTTAGTAAATAGCAACGATTCGAAAAACAAACTTTATAACTAACAGGCAGGTATTTTAAAAAAATAAAGGTGTGGTGTTGCAGTTTACGTTCTGCATCTGTAAAATTAATACTCTATCAATCTAAATATTGCATGTAGCTGTTAAGGCGTGGAATTATGAAAAAATGCAGTTCTGCATTAGAAAACACGTTACTGCATGGTGGTCAGCTTGCTTGTCAAATTATTTTTATTATGATGTCTCAAACTCGTTTTAGCAGTTTGGCGTAATGGCGTTTGCAGTATTGAAATGTATTGAAACGATGCTATAAGAATTGATAGATTAGATATTTTAACGTTTATAAATGGCAAGTTTAGGTATAAATGAAGTAAATCAGGCAAGTGTACTGTGTATTTAAATGTTGTATAAACCCTCAAATAAAGTGCTACTGCAACGAAATTTTCGAGCCCTTTTTTATTGGCTCAATTTAAATTAAAGTTCTAACTTTTGTGATTTCATTTCAGAAAACAGAATCAAAATTGGCTTTTCCAAAAGATTTTTATAGCTCTCCAAATTCGCGATTTTTGCCACTTCCTGTGCGAACTTTTGCTCCGCCATGTTGTTGCTTGTGACGTAAAAAGAGTACCGATTCTTAGCATTGCAGTCCCGGCTAAGCCTGTATTCATCAAAATCATAAAATATCTATACATCTGTTCCTAAGGACAGAGATAGATCACCAAAGTCGAACAAAATAAGTGATTTTTCTTCGGACTTTCACGCCGCGCCAAAATTCCAAACTACGTTTTAAAATCACCTATTGAGTATTGTTGAAATTTCAATGACTAATTACGTCATTTGAATGACGCATTGCGTTGCTTGTGGGGATTAACGCAACTTATATAAAATGCTACATTTAAAATGCTACATGCTAGAGAAGAAGGACATATCAAAGAAGGTCAATTGTATCTGATGGATCTGTAAATTGTACTTATTGGTAATAAGAACCATTTGTGCATGGGTGCAAACAAATTTCACTGTCATCATGCATAAAAATGCATGCTTATGCCAAACATTTATACACTTGTGGTTCCCAACAGGGTGCTTAGGCATTCTATTAACTATTAACATTGTCATGGGTGTTTTAAAAATAGTTTTTGGAGTTTTGGGGACATGCACCCTTTATATCATATACTTATAGCTAGGCCTAGCTTATTATACGGTCGCAATTTGATTGCGTCGAATGCATGCAATTCAAGAAACAGATCATGGGATGAGAGATACCTTCATTACCTCATGCAAAAACGCAACCTTGATGATTCCAAGGAGCCTATATTTTGTTATTGAAAGAAGCAAGCATTGCGTGTTTTTTTTATTAGCGCAGTGTATACAGGGTGTCCCCCAAAAAAGTCCCCTCTATTGAAATCATGCAAGCCTTTGTTAGAATGTGATTGCCTTATTATGATAACTGGCCAATTGAAAGCAAGACTCTTTATTTGAATGCCTCAGATTATTACTTTCATTATTCTCAGGCATTAATAACGACGTCTTAATTTGAAACTGGATTAAGAATCTTATTGAAATTAAGCTTGATTTGGAGTGCATGGAGTGCATGGTTGACGCTCGTTCTGGTGTTTAACTTGCGAAGATTCCGTCGTCTTCTGATCAACAAGGTTTGTTGCACAACTCCTATTCTCTCATTTTAATCCTTTCAAAGTATTTCATAATAGTTTTTTATCCGATGGAGCTAATTCGATAAAGGTTGATGTTAAAATTTAAACATCAAATCTCTGAGAGCGTGCTTCATTGCTTCTATCATCCCGTTCAACATTGGGATTAATAGCCTATACCCCGAAAATCCTCTGTTAGTTGTTTTAAAGTTGTTTATTTTTATTGGGAATGCCTCATATATATCTTTTGTACATATCATAAAGAGCTATTTGTCGATATCTGACCTTTAAAGACATCCTTCAGTGGAATAACGGGCTTGGGGATGATGTAAGATGACATAGGCATATACAAACTTGTTGTCCAGTGCCAATGATCTTATATCAGTTCGATGCAGTTTGACAACATGAGATTACGGACTATATAGTCTTAAGAAAACTTCATCGGAAGGACCTATAGCTATACCTAATTACCTACATGTAACCATATAATTATTTATATATATATATATATATATATATATATATATATATATATATTATATATATATATATATATATATATATATATATATATATATATATATGAACTTGTTGTATTAATGATTTCCTCAGACATAAAATTAACTATTTATTTGTTAATATCCAAACGTTTCGCCGGTTAAGGCTTCTTCAGTGGAATGAAACCATTCTGAGGAAATCATTAATACAACAAGTTCATAATATACCAGACATGTTTCCACAAGCACCTTCATATATATATATATATATATATATATATATATATATATATATATATATATATATATATATATATATATATATATATATATATAGTGAAATATCGCTTTTTCTGTCTTTGCATGCATGCAAGCGTTGCAGACAGTTGGTGATAATAATATGCATGCATGTAAAAAGACAACATACACACCACGTACGTCCCAACAAATGGCTATGAAATTCCCTGTCCTATATCCGCTAATCTAATGTCATTTATACCCTAACAACCTTAGTACCCAAGACATGCGACAG